AGTTTTTTTTTTTTCAGCCAAAGACAAGGTTTATTAAAGATCTGCCATGTTAGCCAGACTCTAAAGGAACCTGTGCACCTGTGAGCTATTGGCTAGATTGTAAACATCTGAGCAGTGGCTAGATTATAAGAATCTGAGCACCTTAATAGAGACAAGATGGACCTTATATATAGGAAGAATGTGGGAGGGATCTAGGAGTGGCCAAGTAGTTTAGGGTGACTGGAGGAGGGGTCTAAAGAGGATCTGGATGGGAGTGGCCAGTAAGCTGGGGTGAACAGAATGCCTGGGACCTGGACCACATGGCCAAGGGAAATGGAGCCTAGCTAGGATTAAGGGTGGGAAATGGCCTTTGCAGAGGTTTTGGTACTTTTTTTTTTATGTGTTTCAACCACAGGGTAGGATCACCAACTGCCACAGTAAACAGGCCAGGGTTGGGTAGACAGACAATTTTTAGAGCACCTTTTCTAGCCCCTTCCTCATACCAGGAGGTAAGCAGTGCAGTCCTTAAAAAGCTTCTCAGACACACAGGGGGCTGCCAAATCCTACTGCTGCTTCCAGTGAGAATATAACCCTGTGGCCTGGGCCACCTATGTGCAAGGTTGTGACTACAGCTTCTGGTGTATCTGCACCTTCTGTTTTCATCATGCCTGTCACCACAGCACTTTGAGATAGGTAAAAATGGTAAAGTGATTTGGGTGATGTCTTTTGATTTGTGCATAAATTTCATTTAAGTGAGGCAGAGTTAAACGAAATCATCGGTTTCTTCTCTCTCTCTTCCAGAGGAGTCATAGTCCAGTGGCAGGACAGAGTCAAGACTGCTAGTGATGGCTCAAGATGCAGTCGATGACCTTGGAGTCTTTGATGTCTAACCACTCTCTAAGCACTCCACAGAGCCTGCTTCATCTGCCTTCACGACTGTTGGAACAAATTATTATCATCCTCCTATTCCACCAGGGGAAGTCTTCACATGCTTGGGGTAGACATCCCCTTAACTCACTGACAGGTTTGAGACCCCTCGGTTAGCCTCAACCTACTTTAGCCTATCTGCAGAAATGGTTTTCCAGGGCATGGCCATTGCACATGCCACAGGTGAGAGTTAGGTGGATCAGGTAGACACCAAAGGTGGAAAGCAGCCCTGAAAGCAGTTCAGAGGAGTCTTCCCTGAATATACCCTACTCCCTAAAGTAAACTTTAACATGTACTTAGTATATTGCCACCTAGTGTATATCAGAAGAAATACAAGCAATTACTAAATACCATTGGCATCACCATCACTCATGTTTTTATAGTTCTTTATAGATAAAAAGTGATATACACATGTGCATATATATATGTATATATATACACACATATATATGTATATATATACATATATATATGTATATATATACACATATATATGTATATATGTATATGTATATATATATATATATACATATATATATATATATATATATATATATTACCTCATTTGACTTTTACAACAATCTTTGAAGTAGGTAGTGAAACTATTATTATCACCATTTTACCCATGAGGCCCAGAGACCTGAAGCAACTTAACTAAAATCATGTTGATAGCTAGCAGAGGAATGAGGATTTGAACCTAGGTATTCTGACCCTGACTCCAATGCTCTTTGTACCTCCCAAATACAAGTGTTTGAGACTGGTTCCCTTTTGGTCTATATGCTGTGTTTGGAGTAAGTTGCATAGGCTTACTCGAATATGTAAAGTATTCACAAACAAAATCACTTCTAAAGACAACCTCTGACTTCCTCCCCACCATAAGGCTAGTTTCTTATTAAGTCAAGGGGAGCTTCATACGTCCTAGTCAATGCTGTATGCTTGCTTAATAGCCTTTAATGAGATTGTTAAGTAAACTCTTTTTGATAAATGTTATGCAGTCTAGAAGTGTCTCATTTCATTACAATCCCAAACATGAACCACTGGACTGGCCTCAAATAAGCCTGACCCAAAACACCAATAAAAGATTTCAGATGGATATCTCTTTTGTTATATGATGCTAGAGGTGGAGAGACCTCAGACTAGTTCATCACTTTAATTTTACAAATGAGGAAATTGAGGGCCACAGATGTGAAGAGATTTGCCCAAGGTTACTTGGGTAGAAAGCAGAACTTGGATTTGAATCTATATCCTCTGACTTCCAATCCAGCACCCCAGTACCAATAGTCTTCCTTTAAATCGAACACATAGAGGCTACAGATTGGAATTGTATTGATTGAGGTCTAGAGCTCCCAAAATTATTAATAAAAAAGAGCACAGTGAAACACAATTATGTAAACAATGTCTTTGGGGTCCTAACAATATGATAGGATCATTACTTCTAGAAATCAATAGCAGAATCAAGCTACACACTTTAGCACTTGTAAACTTCCCAAAGAATATTAGCTTGTTAGAGCTTTATGCTGTCTCATAGTATCTATTGCACATTAAAATTTTTTGTTGTTCAGTTATTTTCAGTCTTGTCCAACTCTTCATGACCCCATTTGGGGATTTCTTGGCAAAGATACTGGAATGGTTTGTCATTTCTTTTGCAAGGTCATTTTACAGATGAGGAACTGAGGCAAACAGAGCTGGGATTTGCTCAGGGTCATACGGCTAGCGTGAGGTCAGGTTTGAACTTGGGAAGCTGAATCTTCCTGACTCCAGGTCCATGGCCAGTCATCTTGACTTTTGTCTTGCCACTGGACTCCAATGACCCTGGAGGAGAGAGTGAGGCTGATGATTTTGTACAGCTCTGCCTCACCTAAATCCAACTCGCTCACGAATCAAGACAGCAGCCTTGTGATATCACTGGTCCTCTTTGAGAAGGAATGGTGAACAATGACAACAATCCTTACTCCAGGCCAGGCACTCCACTGAGACACCTACCTGCCCGCATTAAAAATACATAGGGACAATAAATCGAATATTCTCTGGGCTCCAGACTACCTGCTAAGCTCAAGGGGAAGGGGGGATACCGGCAAAGAAGGGCCTAATTATAGCATTCTTTGCCTTGCCTGGTGCCTTATACAGAGCGTTTGCAATATTCCTTGACTGGTCCCAATCTAGCACACGCAGGCTTGGTGAGCCTACTTTTGGTCCTCTGAGATAGAGGGGCTGATATTGTATGGTGACAAGCAATCTTCTGATTGACCGAAGAGCTGGAGGAGCCAGTGACCACGGAGTCACTGGGCTAGAACTGGATTTGCATGAACAATGATTAAGCCCTCCTTGGCCCTTTTGGGCTTTTCCTTTCTGGCTACAAGGTAGGAAGAGCTGCTGGGAGCTTCGGGGCAGGGGAGGGGGAAATGCTGCCTGTCGTTCACTGGCTACCGTGTGTCTCTGAGCATATGATCCCTTTGTTTCTTTTTTGTTTATTGATCACAATTGCAATAACAATAACAGCAAATGTTTATCCAGTGTTAGAGAATGATGGCTTCCACAAAAACGGATTTTTCCAAATAACTGAATTTTTAAAAACTTCATGCACTGAATATTTAAAAATGTTAACCATTTATGATGCAAACTTTTCTAAAATGCGTTTCACATCTCCCTGCCTTAATAAACAGAGGATACTGAAATATAATAATTTAAACTTTTCTGGATGTTTATTATGAATATCAATTACTATATTACATGACAGCATAACATAAAGGGTGCTAAATAGCACAATTAAGCTTAGTTTGTCCTTTGAGTGAATTTTAGTGGACGCCTAGCACCTAATAATTCTTGAGAGGCAGTCAAGCATTGTAGATACTGAGGTGTGGACCTGCATTCATGAGGATCTGAATCCAATCTCTGACATGTAATAGCTGTTAACCTCTTAACTTCAGTTTCCTCCTATATAAAATGGGAACAGGAAAAAAATATCTGCAGCACCTCCTTCACAGGCCTGTTGTGAGAATCAGATGAGGGTGGCAGATGGAAAGGACTTTGCAAACTTTAAGGCATTACAAAAATGTCAGTCGATATTATTCTAGGTCATCTCTCATGATGGGTTGTCACCTCTTGGTGCATCGGTTCGGGGCAGCCAGCTCTCTTCCCAGATGCTTCTAATCTGCTGAAACGTGCAGCTGCAATCCAAGAAAAGACGAACCTTTCCAGGGAAGCCTGACCACACTTACTCAATAGGGAGTGCTAACTTTTTTTTCATGGTTCTAAGAACGCTGGCAGCTTAGTTCCATGCCTCTCCTGCAGAGTAAAGTGGTGGGTTTTGAGACAGCTCTTTTCCAAACCACTCAGAGACACTTTTGTTTACTTCCGGGTTAATTGCTAGGTTCCAGATGTTTGAAGCTCCTGGAATTTCAACTGCTGTTAGTGGGGTACTATTACCATAGACTCTCAGAGAAGTTTCCCTAGGAAACTTACATATTTTCATTTTATTCAGGATCTCAAGGGAAGTTGGTTCTCTGTTTCCTTAAGCTACATTCACTGTAAGGAATTTCTTCTTTGTATCTAACCATGTCGCATTTTAAATGGATATCCTCTAACTCCACCCCCAGTAGAGATGGAATCCAGCTGTTCCCTGTCTTTCATATGCTTATGTCTGTACATAATGTTCTTCATTTGAGAATATGGGATCAGGTCCATGAAACACAATTCAGCAAAAGGATAACTTTCCAAATAATGCAAGTGAAATATGATGTTTTCCAAATAGTGTAAGCAAATTAAGTTAAATTGCATTAGTAAGTGGAACCATAATAAATGTTTAACCATAGTCTTCGTTTAAAATGAGACAATCGATCTTCGATAATAAATAATATTAACATGATTGCAAGTCTACAGATGTTATCATTGCCAAGATTTATAGCAATGCTACATGCAAACACATTCTGATTAGTAGATAAGCATAAGATCAACTTCCATATCACCCCATGGAACTGGAGGGGTGTGCGTATAGGGGAACCACATAAGAATTCTTTAGTTGATAAAATGATTGTGTATAAAAGGCATCATGAAAGTAAGTCACCCTGTTTAAGTCACAAACATTTTATTTAGATACCCTGCATTTGTTAGGATAAAAGTGAACAATAAACTCAAAACAGAAATTAACAGGAAATCTATTACATTCTAGGTAATTATATATGGAATATTGATTCCATCCAGAATATAGTAATTCAATAAAAATTAAAGTTCATTTGACAGAAATAGCATAAGCCTGAATCTATGCTTATTTAAAGAGAATTGTTTTGCATACCTAATTTCTGCCCCACCTCCCCCTTTTAAACTAACAGAAGAGAAAAATGTGAAGAGGAAAAAGATGCTTGAAGACCTTTTGTTTTTCCTTTCCTATTTTCAGAAAAAGTGACATTTTCCTGGCTCTAATTCCTCTGTCTACTTCAATACCAAGAAATAGTAGTACAGAGGGTGGGGAAACTACAGACAGACTGATGTTACAGAGACAGCCCCAGCCCTGCTTACCTGACATCACAATAGCTTTTCTGATCTCCATTTCTGGTGGCGGTTGTAAATGGAAATTCTTGCTTTGGGGAGGAGTTGGACAAATGACTTCTGAGAGCCATTCCAATTTCCAGGACTCTATAATTCTAAGCAGGGGGCTTTAATCAGCAGCCAGAATATAAGGAGGCAACTCTAATCCTCTAAAATAGCCTAGATGTGGCAGGTCGCATATTTATTTTCTTGTTCAGCAATTTCATTTTTAATAGCTATGACATGATTTTCTAGTTGCTTTAGTTGATTGACTTTCTCTTGCTTGGTTTGATTTAAGATCTGGATCTTCTTTGCTAAATCTGAAAGAAAAAAAAATGAAATGAAACTATGTATTTGAAAAAAAAAAGGTTCCTCTCAGCTTTCACATTTTTGCCAGGGTGGGGATTTATATACTTCTTAATGACACGATTGTTTTTGCCATCTAATCTAATCTTTTTTATTAAAATTTTCAAGGATATCATGCAAATTGGAGCAAATGTTTTATCGACATTGAAGTTTTTTGGCCTCAGATAATAAAATCTCTACAGGGACATTAATCATTTACAGCCTAATATATTTTCTGTTGTTAGAAATAAGTTGGAAATGAAAACAGGTGATGACTCTGGATTGCAGTGAGTAGCTAGGACAGCATGACAAAAATTTTCAAGGTTCTAGTTATTTTTACTTTAGTTAATTTATTTTCTTCTCAGTGGATTTGTGTTCATTTTTGTCTATGCATTTGGATCTTCATTCTCTTAATTCTTTGGACAGGGTGTGTGTGTGTGTGTAAGTAATAGGGAGGGGACATGCGTGCTTCTAGGACCAAATTAGACAATGAAGTGCCTGAGTGGAGTACTTTGCTGTTATTGGTTATTCTTTCTTCTCTATTGGAAATCCCTGGAAACTTAAGAGAGGGGGATTCATCAGAGGAGGAGAGTATGATTATAGTGGGAGGGGGTAAAGTACACTGTTGGTGTTTGGGTGGAGGTTGGGTTGAGAGGCTTAGTGGTTGCAACAGAAGAGAGATGTATGGCTTAAGTTTTGAGATCTATTGATTGATTCTGATTTGTGTACTTGCTGTGCATTCTAGCTCTACACATTCAAATTCAGCACTTCCAAGTTTCCCTTCCTAGGGTTTTAATGATATCTCTTTCTTTATCCAAATTTAAAATGTTTATATCTCTTGTTTTTATATCACTTTCATTTATGAATGTATCTTTCCCTCTATCCAATAAGCTATCCCTTGCAACAAAGAATATAAAAGAGAAAGCAGTTCAGCAAAATAATACATCAAGTCTGACAACATATGTAATATTCTACATTCCCACTTTTAGAAAAAAAAAGAGAGAGTGGTGTATTTTCTTATATTTTCTCTGGGGTCAAGCTTAGTCAAAATAATGACATAGTTTCCAGGTTCTGTTTTATTTTGGTTCTTTTCTACTTACACTGTTGTATTCGTCGTGTGTGTTTTTCCTAGTTCTGCTTGCTTTCCTCTGCATCAGTTCACCTGTCTTCCCATGCTTCTCTAAGTTCTTGATATTCATCATTTCTTATGGAGCAATGATCCATTACATTCATTAACCACAATTTGTTTGGCCATTTCCCTATTCTTTGCAAAAGCAAAAAGTACTGCTAGAAATATTTTAATGTATATGCAACCTTTCTTTTAGTCTTTTACCAACTTGGCTTATACAGGCATCTCTTTTTAACAAGAAGAGGTAGAGCCAGGCATGTGCAATTTAAGCCTCTCTTATTGATGAGGTCGAGTGGACAGTTGCTCTACCCTATTTGTAAGTGTACCATTAGTCACCTTTTCAGAGCTCCAACTGGGAGAAAAAGCAAAAAGCAGTGGGATGGTATATTGTAGTCATAATAATTTAAGTGGAATAGCTTTAGAATCTTTAGGAGAAAGATTTAAATCAATTTATTTGAGAAGCAACATGGCATTGGGGATAGATTTGAATCCTACCTTAGATGGTTACTTGCTGTGTGGCCCTGAGGAAATCACTCAAACTCTCTGAGCCTCATCTGCAAAATGAGGGAATTAGACTTGATGGCCTAAAATGTCCCTTCTAGTACTAAATGTATATTCATTTCTTGTTCCCCCTGTCTTGAGCACTGACAGCTTTCTGGTTGCTTGTGTAGAGGATATGCCCAAGGAAAGCCTGATTGATGTTAATCTCTTGATAACCAAGTTCCCAAGATGAGGATTTTGCTCTGAGCTCCCCAAGTGTAAAAATCCTCGTAGACATCTTGGGATGAAACTTTTGTTTCCACACAAAAGATGGTGACTTGAAGGAGTGTGACTTCTGCATGGGTACTTCTTCAAACCATTGCCTCCTTTCTTACCCAACCAAACTCTAGAAAGAGTGACTTCTTCCAATCTGTCCTGTGTCCTAAGCAGTCTATTGAAATCATTTTCTTGAGGGTCACCATTGCCTAAATGCCACAGTCAATGACCCTTTCTCAGGCCTCATCCTCCTGGACCATTATTTAGCCACACTCTACCTCTTGATACTTTCTTGTTCCTTGGTTCCTATCTTGAACATTCCATGATGCTTCATTCCCTTGGTTTTCCTCCTACTTCTCTGAACATTTATTTGTCTCCTTCATTAGCTTTTCTTCTTATTCCTGCCCAAAATATTGGATTTTCCCCACTTATTCTCTCTACTTCTTCAACGTTCTCTAGCCTTCTTTCCCGTGGTAATCTCCATTACCTGAAGTTTCAACTGTTACTTCTATGTGAATGACTCCCTATCTTTATTAGAGATCATCTCTCTAGTTACCAATGCCCGGCACTTTGGAATCATTTTTGATTCTTTTTTTCTTTTACCTCCCACATCCAATATATTATCTAGTCCTATTGATTCTGTTTCTGTAATGTCTCATTTTTTTCTATTCCCACCGCTATCACCAAAGTCCTGGAACATAATACTTCTTGTTTCAAATATCTCATTAGCCTCCTAACTGCCCTCTCTGTCTCCAGTCTCTCCCCTATCCAATCCATCCTACATACTGCTGTCGGTTTCCTAATGTACAACTCTGATTATATCAACACTATGGTTCACAAACCAATGGTGTACATCATGTACTGGGGGGAGCAGGGAGACAAATAAATTTTAAGCACTTATTATATGCCAAGCACTGTGATAGGCACCGGGATACTAAGACAAAATGAAACAATACCTACTCTCTAGAAACGTATGTTCTATAGAGGGAACAATGCACATAATAAGGTATGGTATCCTTTTTGGGTTGTCACCCCAACATCATGGTACCCATAAGTCTCCAGGTAGAGACTACTATCATAGGTTCAAGGTGATCTGTGAGTCCTAAAACTATAAACCACAAGCCCTACCAGAATGCTTATTTGAATGGTCAGCTACAAGTAGCTCAGATTGGACATAATTAGCTCAAAGTTGCCATATTAAGAACAAGAGATATAGAATATTCTCCCTAAAAACTTGGGGTACATTCTCCCACAAATACAAAGAGCATCAGTGAGAAGAGTGAGCACAAACTTATAGTACACTGGTAATACACGTAGAGAATACTGGTGGGTAAGACAACTCATGCCTTTGTCATGGTAGGGATATGTTGTCTCTCTCTTCTCCTTGTGTTCTTATGAAGCTAACGTCTGGTACAGTGTGTCTGCTGGGTGGATTAATCAGCTGGGTTCCCTGGGCTCATTCTTCTCCACAGATGAATTCCCAACTGCCAGGACTAATTCCCCCTTGAGTCCATGATTGGCTCTTTTCTCTACTGCCAAGGGTACTCCTTGAGGAACTGCTTCTTACCCCAACACTCTCTCTCTCCCTCTCTCTGACAGGTCACTTCACAAACCTGTTTCCCACCTCAGTAGTCTCTCAAGACTATCAAGGTTGGCTTTTTAAGAGCTACCAGGAGCATGGGCAATCTTTGGCAAGCTATCCCTCTAATTCCATCAAGAACAACTCTTTAACATTTTATTTGGGGTAATAGAACATTTAGGTTCCTGACACACATGTACACACAAAATAAACCCACATCAACACTTTATCTTTCTGTTACAATCTTTTCTGTAATTTCATCATCTGGGATAGGGATCAACCTAGGGAGTCATGGACCAACTCTCCTCAAATACAAATGTACATATAAAATATAAAAATAAATATGAAGTAATTTATTGGAGGGCCATTAGCAGCAGGGGGCAGATCAGATAAGGCTTCATGGAGAAGGTGGTACCTGAGTTGAGTCTTGAAGAAAACTAGAGATTTCTAAGTGATAGAGGTGAGGAGGCAGCATAAGTAAAGTATATTATATAATATACATTGTAAATATAGTATAATACAGTACATATATGTGTATATATGTGTGTGTGTGTGTGTGTGTGTATATATATATATATATATATATATATATATATATATATATATATATATATATATATGAAATAAGTACAAGTACAAGCATTCCAGGCATGAGGGTCAGCCTGTCCAAAGGCATAGAGACTGTACTCTCAAAACACTCTGTTTATATCTCTCCTGCTGGTATCCTGTTTTACTTTGTAGTATAGTTATTTGTGTAAGTATCTTATCTCCCCTACTAGGTTGTAAACTCCTTAAGGGCAGAGGTTGTATCTTATTCATCATTTATCTCCATCAGTGTCTGGCAGGATGCCTTGTAGATAAGAAGAATTCCATAAATGATTTTTGAATGAATCAATGGTGTAAAAAGTCACAGGAATATGTTCCATGCATGATAGAGATTTGTTACTATGGTTTTATTCATACTTTGTCCATTGTCAAAGAAAGAACTAACTTATGAGTATATATTAATGGAGTATGGCTACCTTTTATTCGTTGCATTTTTTCCTCCGTCTCCCCAGCCAATTTTTCTGCTTCTTCTTTTAGCTGTTTTACTTTACTGAGTGTTCCCTTCATGGATCCTTTAGAGTTTGCCTTATCTTGAAGAACTGTAAATTGTCTTTTTAGGTCAATGAAATCCTGTAACAGAGTAAAGACCACCATCAGTCATCATCATGTAGTATTTATTAACCACCTACTGGTAGCTGATCATCCTTTTGCTATGATTTGAAAGTGGACACAAGGGAAACAACGCTCTAATTAATGTGCTATTTGAACTACCCTTACATGAGTCATCTGTGATACCATGGAAAGAACCCTGGATTTGGAGTCAGAAGACATATGTCCTAGTATTTACTAGCTGAGTTATCTTGGGCAATTCACTTAACTACTCTATGCCTCAGTTTCCTCATTTATAAAATGAATTTACTTGTATTACCTACCTCACAAGATTATTGTAAGAATAAAATAAGATAATGCATAGGGAATGTTTTATAGCCAATAACTAGCACCTACTTTATAGTTTGCAAAGCAGGTTACAGATATTATTTCATTTGATCCTCATAACATTTCTGGGAGATAGGTGCTATTATTATCTCCCATTTTACTAAATGAAGAAACTGAGGCAGACCTAGGCGAAATGATTTGCCCAGGGTGATATAGCTAAATCTGAACTTGGTTCTGCCTGACTCTAGGTCCAGTGCTCTATATACTGTGCCACCCAGCTACCTATTTGAATTAAGGATGGATGTTTTCTTAGAGTTTATAATCTAATCCGGTATTTCCTACATAAAAGGTAGGACAGTAGGAGACACAGCATGGGATAGTGGATATAGTGCTGGATTTGGAGTCAGGATGATGTAGGTTTGAACCCCATCTCAGATACTAGCTGAGAGACTCTGGGCAGGCCATTTACCCCCTCTTAGCTTTAGTTTCTGTAAATCAAGAGAGTTCAACTCTGTGACTCCAAGGTTCCTTTCAACTCTAAATCTATGACACTATGATCCTATAATCAAACTGACCTAATGCTGTTCCTGGAATTCCATCTGTATTCCATCTCTTATCTTTGTGCCTTTGGAGAGCCTGTTCCCCAGGCCTGGGATTCACTTCCTTCTCTCTTCCCTTACTTTTCTACTCCCTTAAATTTTATCTGATGCTCTCAGTCTTTTCAGATCATCTTGTATATGCTTATCTTTGTGAAGACAAGCATCCTGTAGTCCTCCCCTGCCCCAGTAAAATGTTAGCTCCTTGAGTCATTTCTGGTTTTTGTATCCCTTGGTCTAAGTACCATGTCTGGTACTTAGTATTTAGTTAATTGAATCATTTGTTAAAATGTATAGCACAGCAAGCTCTGTAGAAGCTCAGGGAAGGGACAGATCAATGTGGAGTAGTCAGAGAAGGCTTTGGGTGACTTAAGCTAAGACTTGAAAAAGTCTAGGATTTGGTCTTTTGGAAAGAAAGCAGGAAATTCTCCTAGACAGAGGTGGGAATGAGTAATCTCTCCTGAACAATCATTCTGACTACAGGAGGGGTTAGAAGGGGAGTCAAGAGGAAGTCAGCTGATGTAGGAGACTTTGGGGAGCAACCTTTGTTGAAAAAAAGAATAAAGAAAGGGAGCCAGTGAAGGAAGCAGGAATAATCAGAGGAGGAGGACCAGTAGAATGTATTGTAAAGGAAGTCAAGGGTGAAAAGAACTTTGAAAAGTGGGGGGGAAAGGAAAAGAGGGGCTACAGTAGTGATAAACATGGCAAAGCTTTTGAAGACAATAAAGACTGAGAGAAGACTAGATAGGTTACCTCTGAGGTAGCAGCTGAAGTGGAAGGTAAGGGGTATGAAACTTAGAACAAAAGGATCTAAGAGGGAATAGTAGATGAAGAATTAGAACCAGGGGCTATAGATCATTTGGCTGAGGAGTTCGGCTGAAAGGAAGGGAATAATAATAATAATACTAAACAATAATATTGGCTTACTTATACATCTAATGATTTACAAAATACTTTCCCTGAAATAACCCTGTAACGAAGGTGGTTGTTGTTCAATCATTTCAGTTGTGTCCAACTCTTTGTGACCCCAGTAATGCAGGTCTTACAGATGAAGAAAGTGAGGTTCAGAGAAATAGATACATGGTTAGCATCAGGGCCGGAACTCGGATTTCTTCCTTACGGCCAGTGGGTTCTCTCTCCATTATACTGCTAGAAGATGATAGACCGAAGGGGTAGTAGGGCTAAGTGAAGCCACCCTATAGAGAGAGGCAGTGTGGTGGTGAAAAAGGAGTTGGAATCCTTGCTGTAGCACCCACTAAATGTGTGACTATGGGACAGTTATTTTACCTCTCTGACCCTCGGTTTCCTCCTCTCTAAAACAAGCACAGTCATACATATATTATCTGCCTCACAGGTTTGTTGTGAGCAAAGTGCTATGTAAATGCTAAAGCATTGTATAAATGGGAGCTACTATTCTCTATGTTTTGCCTCTGCAACTCAGATATGAGCTCTTTGGGAGCAGCTGTATCTTTTACTTCTATTTCCTATCAATAATGATATTGATAATATTTTATTGACCACATTTTTCATTTCTGTGATGTTTTACTGTATAGCAGGTGTTTTCATATACATTATCTTATTACCTTCTCATAGCACCTCTGTTAGGTATGCAGGGCACATATTATTAGAATCACCTGACAGATGAGAAAACTACCCAGAGAAAAGAAAACTGGATCTGGAGTCTGAAGACCTGGATTCAAATCCTGCCTTTGATACTACTTGTGTGATGACTTAATCTCCCTAAGCCTCAGTTTCCTCAACTGTAAAATGAGGGAGTTGGATTCAGTGACCTCTAAGGCAGCTTCCAGCTCCAGACCCAAGATCCTAAGATCTAGTACAGGGCTTTTGTTTTGTTGTTCAATCATTTTTCAGTCACGTCTGGCTCTTCAGGGTTTTCTTGGCAAAGACACTGGAGTGGTTTGCCATTTCCTTCTCCAGTTCATTTTACAGATGAGGAAACTGAGACAAAGAGGGTTAAGTAACTTGCCCAAGGTCATACAGGTAATAAGCGTCTGAGGCCAGAGTTGAACTCAGGAAGATGAATCTTTGTGACTCCAGGCTCGGCACTCTATCTACCGTACCATCTAGCTGCTCTAGTACAGTGCCATGCACACAGAAAGTATCAATTAATAGTCGTTCAATGAATGGATTGAACAAAGAAAGAGGGAGAAGATCCTTCATTTCTGAGCCTTTCTATTTTCACAGAAAATCTCAGAAATTATCCTGAAGTCAGAAAAAAAAGCTAGCAGCTACAACTCAGAATTTCACGTTAAAAAATGTGGGTTAAAAGGTGTTTGTTACCTGGTGATGATTGTCTCTGAAGAAAATGAAACAACCCAAAGATGAGAAAATAGCTTTTAAGGAAATTGGCTCCCGTAAAGAATGGCTTTCCTGGGTCACTCAAACTGCCAAAACCCATTTTAATGGCTGATTTTCCACATCTGCTTAATTAAACAGTAACTCTGCCTCTGATTTCATGTCTAGATCTGTGTCTCTTGGACATGTGATTGTCTCCCCTGCTGCTTTGTTTCTGCATCATGTCAGCCAGTCAATAAACGTTTATTGAGTGCCTACCACAAGCTGGGCACTGTAACTATATTAGAATAGCGTCTAAGGTGAGATTTTGGGATTTTATTTTGAAACATAAATGAATGTATAAAATGGAATGTTACCTAAATGAAGACATTCATTTGAATTTGGAAGCTCAAAAAGGCTTTGAAATAGAGAGTGTATGTAAAGGACATGTTCCAAAATATCAGGAGGACTGGTGGTTCCAGGTCAAGGATGAAATTCATGGGTCAAGTAAGATATTTGTAAAGCACTTAGAATGGTACCTGGCACATATTAGGCACTTAATAAATGCTTATTTCCTTCCTTCCTTTCAGGACAGGGGTAAAAGGAAGGTCCCTGATGGGATGTATCTGGAGGATCTTGCCTTCTACAAAGTGCTTCTGAGTACCAACCTTTTTCCTCATTTCTACTGTTTCTACTCTCTCTTTTAATTCCCCTGTACACACACACACACACACACACACACACACACACACACACACACCCTCTGAGGGTCAGATGGACACATACTGTTTGGCTGCAGACATTGGTCCTAAAATTCAACGATACTGATGGTCCTAAAGTATAGGTTAATAAAACAACAGGGAAAAATTTGGGATTAAAGTTGCAGAACAAGTAGTCAGTAATAAACATTCATTAAGCACTTACTATATGCCAGGCCTCTTGTCAATGTTCAATAAGATGTTATTTAATAGGAAACTTCTCCTTTTCTCTTGGTTAGCTCTTGAAGGACTAAAACTAACCTTCTCAGTGATGTTAGCTTGATCCTGGACTGATTCTGCCTGGGCTTTTGCACTGATAGCACCGTCTCGAGTCCTTTGTATCTTGGTTTGCAAGGTAGAGATTTCATCTTCCAGTGTAGACTGTTGGCTTGATATGTGTTCCAATTCATCATTAGTCTTACTGGTGAAGTTTTCAGCCTATTTTTTTTGGAAAGATTAAAAAGGCAAAACTCCATTTGTGCCATGTGAAACAAATGGAATCTGAGGCAACAAGCCTATTGCCCTGGTTCCCAAATCTTTCAAGTATGAGCAAACCATTTTAATGTAAAATAATTTGGTACATCATTAAGAGCAGAGCCCTACAGTGTACCCTGAAAGATCTTCCTCCAGGTGGAGACAATAGGGTCAAAGATCTAAAAGTGGAACGTACTTTATTAGTTATCTAGTCCAAATCCCTCATTTTGCAAATGAGGAAACTGAGGCCCAGAGAGGTTGAGTGAATTGTTTAAGGTCGCCTAGTAAGTAGTAGTTAGGACTTGAGCTGAGGTCCCGTGACCCCCATTTAGGGTCTTCTTGGCAAAGATACTGGATTGGTTTGCCATTTCCTTCTCCAGCTCATTTTACAGATGAAGAAGCTGAGGCAAACAGGGTTAAGTGACTTGCCCAGAGTCACACAGCTGAGTGTGTCTGAGGCCAGATTTGAACTCAAGAAGATAAATCTTCTTGACTCCTGGCCCAGCACTCTATCCACTGCTACACTTAGCTGCCCCAGAGATGATATAGAATGAATTAATATGACATTTTCATTTTTTTCCCACTTTGCATTTGATTTTTTGTCGACTGAGTACAAACAGTATCTGATTTCCAAGGACCAGTCTAATACACACAGAGCTCTTCTGGAGTAGCCTGGCCTCCTTATGAAGAGTTCCTTGGCCTTGGCAACCTATGCAATAAAGAAAAACACTTAGTATCACAGAATCTCAGAGTTGGAAGGGGCCTTAGAGTGTTCTAGTCTGACTTGAACCTGAAGAAGCCCCTCTACAATGTACCCGACAAATGGGATCTCTAGTTAGGGTGGATTAGGAAATACCCACTACTTCCTAAGGCAGCTCATTCCACTCTGGGTTAGATCTGATCTTCAGGAATCTAATCTGCCTCTCAGCAACTTCTTTCCATGGCTTCTAGTTATGTGTCTTGGAGTCATGCTGAAGAAGTCTTTGCATCACTGGCATTCACATGATTGAAGATAGCTAGTAGGTTCCCAGTAAGTCTTATCTTCTCTAGGCTAAACATCCTCACTGTCTTTAACCAGTCCTCACATAGCATAATCTCAAGGCCCTTTACCATCTTAATGAAATTAGGATGAGGGTCAGAGCAATAACCCAGGATTAATCTGATAAGGTCAAAATACTCCAAGGTGGAAACTTGGGGGAAAAAAATGGGTGAAATATATAAAATAGATACTTTCCCCTCAGGCATCTCCTCATTTTCCACCCAGTTGCACTTATTTTTGGACTTCTTTGGCTTTTGCACCATGTCCTTTTGTGAGGTACCTCTCCCTTGACCATTTTCCAGCTTTTTCATATGTATTGTCTTCCTCCGTTAGATTATAAACTCATTGAGGGGAGGGATTGTCTTTCTTTTTTGTATTTGTCTCTCTAGTGCTTAGCAAAGTGCAAGGCACATAGTAGGTGCTTAATAAATGTTTATCCACTACAACTTATTGACTATTGACTTTTCTAACAACACATATATCTTTGGTCAACTGGCAATACTGTGTATTTCATTGGCTCTCTGACCTCAGCATTACAGGTGCTCCATCCACTGGTATAGATCATAATCCAAGAAACCTTTTTGATTCTGTATAATTCTTGTTCCTGTTTTCCCACAAATCCTCTGTAGAGGACCAACATAATGTGCTGGAAGCCTTCCTCTAGATCTTTTAACATTACCTGATTATAATTGCAATGCCCAGAATTTCCATTAGTTATTCTTTGTTTTTGCTATATGACTGACCCATCCCCTTTTCCAGTGATACCCATCTTGGGAGATATTTTTACATTACCTCTCATGTAGAAGCCATCATTGGTAATGTATAACAGCCGTTTACATCCCCTTTATGTCTTTACATGGCCCTTTGGGCAACCTGAGACTTTGACTCTTCCAAGTATGGCATTCTATGATTTACAGCCATACAGCATCACTAGAAGAATACCGGTGTTTAAAAAAGAAAAAAGACTGTTTTTTTTCTTTTAAAAAGAAGTTTGAGATTATTAAAAGTTCTGGGAAATTTCATAAATGAAATACAGCCTCATGTTCATTGCTGATATACTTGTATGTGTACATGTTGTCTTTCCTGACAGAATCAAAACTCTTTTAGGGTAGGGGCTGTTTCATTTGTATCTTCTTATCCCTACCACCTTGCAAGGTGTCTGATGTGTATTAGACACTTAATGCATGCCTACTGATGGATTAACCTGATATTTTCCTCCTATTCAATTCCAGACATAGTTCGTTATCAATTTGTGGTGTCTGCACAAAACATATGTATCAATATATATCTATTTAATAATAATAAAACAATAACTACCATTTATATGGTGTTTTAAGGTTTTCAAAATGCTTTACAAATTATATCTCATTTGAACTTCACAGCAACCCTGTGAAGCAGGTGCTATTATTCCCATTTTACAGATGAAGAAATGGAGATAGAAAGAGATTATATGACTTGCCCAAGGTCATATAGCTAGTAAGTATCTGTGGCCAGATTTGAACAGATTTAAATCTTCCTGACTCTAGTTTCAGCACTCAATCCACTTCACCTCCTAGCTGCTAATTTCATATGCTAGTGTGGACAATTAGCATCCTTTATTCACCTGGTTTTTCCTGAGTGGATTCTTAAGCCAAACTGTTTTCAATGGTTGTGGTTCTCATTTAGGAGACTGTAGTGTTGTGGGTTTGATGCAATTAACCCAATGTCATCTTTTAAAAGGGAACATCTGGATTAATTCAATATTAAAAGAATATCTCTCTTTTATTTGATTCTGCTGGACATCCTTCATGATACTGGCAAGCACCTTTGGTAAGTGTTTCACATCATCTCAAACCTATAAGGTTCTGCACGTGAGCACATGCTATAAAGTGGTGCTGTTAGCTGCCATCTTTCTCTGCTTGTTCCAGTGACACCGGTCTCCTTTCTATTGCTCAAACTAGATGCTCCTTCTCTTGCCTTTGGGCATCTTTCACTCGTTTCCATGCCTCAGATTCTCTCCCACTCCATCTCCATCTCTTGGTTTCTGTGGCTTCCTTCAAATTTCAGTAAAAGTCTACCTCCTACAAGAAAATCTCCCTTAATGCTAGTGAGAGTGAGATCATAAAATCACAAGTCTAGAGCTAGACCACTGAATCCATTAAGTCCAACCCTTTTATTTTACAGGTGAGGAAACTGAGGTGTAGGAGGCAAAGAGACTCGCCCAAGGCTAGACAGGCCATAAATATAGAGTTGGATTTGAACCTAGGCCCTCTGACTCCAGAGTCAGTGTTCTTTTCCCACTGTCCCTCACTGACTGGCAAGATGGATAGGATTCAACAACTTCAGTAGCATCTGTGCTTGTTGGCCATTGGGCTAGGGTCTCATATTTATATTACTGTTAAATTAATGTGTGTGGATAGTTTAAAACTGTGATCCTGAACACTCAGTCTTTCTTCCTTTTCCTGCCATGCTGATACTTTTACTGCAGAAGTGAAAAAGACCACAGAGGAACAAGAGACGTTTTTAATTTTTCTAGAGTTTCAAGGGTTGCCAGGACCGAAGGATTCACCACCTGTGTATCAGCCAAGTGGTGATGAGGTACTAGCCTGACCAGTGATCACTTTAACCAACTGGGAATTAAACTTCCCTATTTGTGAAACAGAATTGTAGTGAGAGCTAGGCCTGCCTTCTAGTACTGTGATTGTCAAGTGAGACAGAATATGGGAAAGTGCTTTGTAAAGTATAAAAGTCTACATAAACTCAACATATCATTATCTCTTCCTATTCGCAGATCAATTCTGTGAAGTAGGTGGGACAGCTATGATCACTCGTATTTTAAAATGCTCTGTGTGTGTGTGTATCTATCCAGAGAATAACTAGTAGGCATTGTCTTTGCGTTCTATTCACATTACCACCCTACAGGAAAATTCAGGACAGTTTCAGATTAGATGCAAAATACCTTCAGTATGGTCATTTCAATTTTTTGTATCTCATCAGTCAGATTTTTAACAGCAGAGTTTGCTCGCCCTTGGACACCTTCAGCGTGTTGCAAGTTTCCCAGCATTTCTTCCAGGTTCAGTAGGGTGTTTACTGCTTCCCTAAAATAAGAGAATAACACATCAGATTTAAGTGAATCTAAAACGCCGATATTTTGATTCATTCTGATTCCATTCCATTTAATCAAAAACATGATAGAATTGGGTATAAGGTAAATTTAGATTATTCTCAAGCAAAGGAAAATGCTAAAAGTGTGTGTGTTTTGAAAGCTGCATATATATGACAAAACCTAGAGATACATGCACACACATATACATCAGAGCATGTGGTATATATACAATATATGTGTAGTATAAATATGAGAGGCAATATGGTATTATGGATAGAGAATTGGCCCCATTGTCAGGAGAGAAGGAGAAGGGGAAGGGCATCAACATTTATTATGCATCTACTGTGTGCCAGGCACTGTACTAAGCACATTACAAGTAGTATTTCATTTGATTGTCACAACAACTCTAAGAGGTAGGTGCAAGCATTATCCCCATTTTTTAGTTAAGGAAACTGAAGGAGACAGAAGTTAAGTGACTTGCCCAGGATCACACAGCTAGTAAATGTCTGAGGCTAGATTTGAACTCAGGCCATCCTGACTCTGGACCTAGAACTCTGTCCACCCAACCACCTTGCTTCCTCTGGGTTCAGATCCTGATTCTAACATGTACTGGCTTGTGACCCTAGATAACTTCTTTAATTTCTCAGGCCCCACATCACTTTAAGACTACAACTTGCAGAACAGGTTCTGTTCTGCACTGGTGGAGGGTGTTTCCTCATGGAGAGCTCCCTATATCAAAGAAATAACAGACCCAAGCCAAAACAAAGTGTGTACATACGTAAATATACATGTGAATCGAAATTAGGGACACGTGTCTCATTTTTATTTCATTTGTTATATGTCAAGAAATTGGAAAGGCATATGTAATTGCCTCATTTCCCTCATCCATGAAATGGAAATCTCTCCCCTATCTCCACTCCATACATACCCCAGGTTCTAGTGCCTGCCTACACCTCCAAAATAGCCTTTCGTTTATTTTATATTTCTTTTTTTTTTTTTTAATAGAAGCAGCGGATAGAGAGCTGGCCTCATAATTAGGAAGATGGATTCAAGTGCTTCCTGTGACCCAGACTGGCCTTGTGACCCTGGGCAAGTCACTTAACTTTGTGGTGGCTCCCTTCCCCCTTTCCCCCCCAAGGTGATTCTCTAATACCCTAAGCTGCAGAACTGTTACTAATCTTCACTGGCAGAGGGAGTTTCTTCACTGTGAGTTCCCAATGTTGACAGAGTCCTAAGTTCAGTTCCCTACTCCTTGCTCCAAATTAGAAAAATGGGCACTGTGTACTTTCTGATTCAGTCTCCCACAGGGGATGTTGAACCAAGGTGTATAGAACTGCTTCCTGTTCTCTTACTATGTGGTGATAGGAGTCTTTTGATTGGCAGCTGAGTTGGAACAAGGTATGTATGCAAAAGACACTAATTAGACAAACTGATCTTTCCTCCCTGGCTCACTCTTGCGCTCTCTCTCTCTCTCTCTCTCTCTCTCTCTCTCTCTCTCTCTCTCTCTCTCTCTCTCTCTGTGTGTGTGTGTGTGTGTGTGTGTGTGAAGGATGAATTGCTGTGGGCTAGCAGCAGGAAACAGTCATAAAACATCTACACCTGCTCTGAAGTGGAGAGCAGGGACTTCCATTACATATGCCCAGAAACAGGCTCACCAAATATGCATATGTTGTTCAGTCATTTCAAATTCTTTGTGATCCCATTTGGGGATTTCTTGGCAAAGATACTGGAGTGGTTTGCCATTTCCTTCTACAATTCATTTTACAGAAGAGGAAAATGAGGCAATTGGGGTTAAGTGACTTGCCCAGGGTCATGCTATGTGTCTGAGGCCAGATTTGAACTCATTCTCTCCTGACTTCCAGGCTGGTGCTCTATCCACTGTGCCACCTAGCTGCACTAAGTTCCCTAATTTCTAAAGCTTTAAACAGCAATGTTAACAAATCTTTACTGGAATGGGGGTTGGGGGTGGAAGAGTCAAGAGGTTTCACAGAGAGAAAGTGTGTTTTTTAAGGCTAAATATTTTAAAGCTCTGTTTATTCAGGTTTATTTGAGCCTGACTGAAATTCTACCCTCTCAGCAGCCCAGTCAGAGGTTAAAATGAAAAGCATTTCAAGTAATACCAGTCTGTCTGGCTGTCAGTCTGTCTCTCTCGGTGATTTCATCTCACATCAACATTTATGAGATACTTAGAACTGAGCATTCAGAGTTATAGGAAGGAGAAATATAATAAAACTGTAGCAGAAAATTAGAACAACTTTTTTGTTAGCATATCTAGAGATTTCTGTACCCAGGACAAAATCAGGTAAACTTCAGCCTCAGCCCCTTCAATCAATCATAGAGTCAAAAAGTGTTTAGTAACAACTTGCTATATGCCGGAAGCTCTGTCAGGTGCTAGGGATTCAAAGATAAAAATTAAACAGTTCCCGTTTATATTCTACTGGGGAAACAACAAATATGTCTATAAATAAATATCCAATATCCACAAGGTAATTCTGAGAATTGGGGGCAGGCAACAGCAGCTGCTGGTGGTGGTGTGTATGTGTATATATGTATGCAGAAATCAAGCATAGTTTCCTGTCATTCAGTCAGTGAATAAGCATTTATTAAGTGCCAGGGACTGTGCTAAATACAGAGGATACAGGAGTGAAACAGTTCTGGCCCTATGACATTTTCATTCTAATGAGGGATGTGATATATGTGTGTGTGTGTGTGTGTGTGTGTGTGTGTGTGTGTGTGTGTGTGTGTGTGTGTGTGTGTGTATTTGGCTTCCAGCCAAACCTGGAACATCTTAATTGATGGAAAAAATGCTGATTCGATGATGCATCTGAATAAGGTCAAGCATTAATATGAGAGCTTTGGGGAGGAGACACATTTCTTCTTCTAGAGGGTTCGTGTGTGATATCAGACTAACTTGGGGACTGACCCCAGACATGTGGAGACAGCAAGAGAGATAGACTTTGGAAGCTGCAGATGAGTAGGGGAAGCTGGTTCCTAGATACATTCCTGGTTTCTAACCAGCCTTCCTACAGACTTGGGAGAATTTTTTCTGGGATGAGATCTTGGTTGATGTGAGATCCCATCTCCCTCTTATCCAAAGTGCATTTTCTATTATAATCTCTATAAATTCTCCAATTTCTATTTGCTTGGATAAATAGGTTTACTCACTATTCACTATATGTGATGATCTTTTGTGTAATGAGCATTAGTGGCAAGGGGCCAAGCTGGTAGGTATAAGCTTGGGGCGACCATTCCCCTTAAGAGAGATCAGGGAGGATGATTTTTGTTTGTTAGTTTTGAACCTTTTGTACCCATAGACCAGCAATATTTAATGTGTGTGTGTGTGTGTGTGTGTGTGTGTGTGTGTGTGTGTGTGTGTGTAGATAGGCATAATTTTAGTCTAGAATCACACTGGAGACTAGATAAAAAAGTGCTCAGATTAGTGGTGCTTGAGAGGTTTACCTGCTCCTGCTTTCCAGCTATCATGCAGGCTCACCTTTTTTGAGCCACAGTTCGACAACTCAGCTGCGTATACAAATCTTACACAGGCTGCACCTCACCATACATAATATACAAATGGCATAAGGTAATTCTGGGAGGGAGGGCACTAGCATCTGGGGATCAGGGAAAGTTTTAGGTCAAAGGTAGTGCTTGAGCTGCTCTTTGAAGGAAATTTTAGGAAAATTAGAAGGTCAGCTAGGTGGTGCAGTGGCTAGAGCACCTGGCCTGGAGCCAGGAAGACTTATCTTCTTGAGTTCAAAACTGGCCTCAGACACTTAATAGCTATATGACCCGGGGCAAGTCACTTAACCCTCTTTGTCTCATTTTCCTCATTGGTAAAATGAGCTCAAGAAGGAAATGGCAAACTACTCCAGTATCTCTGTCAAGAAAACTCCAGATGGTGACACGAAGAGTCAGAAATGACTGAGATGATTGAACAACAACAATAGGGAAATTAGGTGAAGATAGAATTCAATTTGGGCTTCCTAGACAGCCCCATGCCACAATTTCCTTATTTAACCATGTTGCTGGATCTCTTTCCAGAATTAATTTCCTCTCTCTCGCCCCTGAACTCTATCATTTCCCCCTGCGTAAATTCCAATAATTTTCTTTCACCAGTTAAATAGACACTCACTCAACAAGAGTTTATCCGGTACCTACTTGGTGCAACATATTGAACTACATGAAGTTTTGTCCTTCCTGTGCCCTTTTTGTTCAATTTCCCTAAACCCCTTCTGGGCTATTTTTCATTGCTCATTTCATCTCTAATTACACTAATTTTTTATGTTAATATAAACCAATATGACATAAAGGGGTTATATCTTCAATTGAGTCCCAACAAAATTGTAATAAAGGTTTATTTATAGAATAGATGCTCAATAAATGTTTGCTTTTAATCTTGTCATTGACAATGTGACCATCCATATCACCTGATGGAGCTTGTGTAGTGAATGAACCACAGCTTCCCAAGCTCATAAAAACAACAGGATGGAGGTTCCTTTTTGCTTGGCTAAGTCAGCAAGGACAAAGGAAATCCAGAGCTGGTTAAATTGTTCATAGTCTGATGTATAAGGAGGTAATAGGCCATTAGAAAGGAACCTAGCCACTAATGAAAACAGGAAACAAGCTTCCCTGCTCTCTGTCTTCTTATTATCGCCTGGCACACTGAGTCACCTTGTTCAAGAATTTGGCACTTGTTATGCAGCTCTGGATGCTGTACTTCTAATTTCATTTAGATTTCACGATGCCCTTTGGCCAACACTTTTTCAACTGCTTATTAGATGTTGGGGGTGGGGGAAGGATGCTAAAAACCATGCCATTTAAGGGTCAGTTGGAGAAACTGGGGATATGTAGGTTGGAAAAGAGAAGTCTAAAGGGTAGCATGATATTTATTTTCAAATATTTGGAGGTCTATCATATGGAAGATGGTTTTGCCTTGTTTTGCTTACCTACAAAGGACAGAAATGGATGCAATAGGTGGAAATCACAAAGATGCAGATTTAAGTTTGTTGCAGAGAAAAACTCCCTCCAAATTAGCAGTGACTCGAAGTTCCTTGTTAGGTAGTGAATTTCCTGTCACTGGAGATCTTCAAAGAGACAATGTCGGGGATGTTGTGAAGGGGATTTACTTTCAAGATTTAGGTTGAACTTGAAGGCCTCTGAACTCTGCTGCCAGTTCTGTGATTCCCTAAGAGCAACATTGTGAAACAAAATACTTACTCAGCTTCTTTAGACTTTGCTAAAAGTTTCTGGGCTTCTGTGGCTTTTAGTTTTAGCCTGCCCTCTGCTGCATGGTCATCCTCACAGAGTTTTGTAAGCAGCTCTATTTTATCAAGCTCCTTAGTTAGATTTTGTGAAGTTATTGGGAGGTGGAGGTCCAGGACATGATTTGCGACCTTTTCTATGTCTTCTGGTGGAACGTTCTCATCTTAAATAAGAATGTAAAACATCGTTAATGGTGGCTCTTTACCAAACACAGAGTGTCTTAAACATGTTGAAGTCAAGTCAACAAGCATTGATCAGGTACCTACTATTTGCCAGGCCCTGTGCTCAACTCTAGGGATGCAAAGAAACATCTAATGGGGAAACAAGACACAAAGAAATGTGTGTAAACAAAATGTGTGTGCGTGTGTACAGACGTAATTTGTGTGTCTTTTAGGGCTTTTGAAAACCGCATAACACATTCAAAAAGAAGTGTAAGTAAAATGTGAAAATGAATATTAACGATAACATGGTTATATCATAGTTGTGTCACTGATAAAAGAGCTCAGGGAAGAATTCTTAGGGAAGAAAGCTATTTGCTAGAGAAACAGCTGAGCTGGACAGAAAGAATCTTTACCAAGTTTGCAGTTTCAAAGTCTTCCCTTCCCCATCTCCAAAACAAAACAAGAGACTACTAAATGGTGAATAAAAAAATACTACTAAGTGGTGAAAAGAAAGGCTAAACAGGAAAAGTTACTACCAAACGAATGTGCTAGTTGGCAATAACTTCTGAGGTATGATTAGTAGGGAAGCCTCTACAAATGAACTTCGCTATTTCCCCTATATATGGACTAGCATTCGTACATTGGAAAGAGCCTTGACTCTGGAGTCAGAGGAATTGGGTGACCTTGTGCAAGCCACCTAAATTCTCTGGCCTTCCTCATTTGTAAAATGAAGGAGTTAGACTAGATGGCCTTTGAGGTCGCTTCCAGCTTTAAATCTAGGCTCCTAAAAATTAAAATTGTCAAAGGGCTCTAAAACTCTTGGGTTAAATAACGTGCAAAGTTGGACTATTTATCAATTGAGTAACCAACAAGGAAAATAGATGCTACTTGACTGTGATCATATTGTGATCCAATCACAAATTGGAACATGTGATCCAATAAACTAGACAGGGAACAGAACACTAAGAATGGTGGCTCTGATTCCACCCCTGCTAATATTCAACCGCTCTGACTTTCTATGTTGTAAAGCTTTGAGTTTAAGTTCAATGATAAAGGATATAGGTAGTGAATTTCCTGTCACTGGAGATCAACAAAGAGACAATGTCAGGGATGTTGTGAAGGGCATTTACTTTCAAGATTTAGGTTGAACTTGAAGGCCTCTGAACTCTGCTGCCAGTTCTATGATTCCCTAAGAGCAACATTATGAAACAAAATACTTACTCAGCTTCTTTAGACTTTGCTAAAAGTTTCTGGGCTTCTGTGGCTTTTAGTTTTAGCCTGCCTTCTGCTGCATGGTCATCCTCACAGAGTTTTGTAAGCAACTCTATTTTATCCAATATAGAGGATCATCACTACCTTGTCTATATGCTGATTGATTTTTTTTTTCAATGCAGAAACTCTCCAGGACCATCTACTAAGTCACAGAAAAGTTGTGATTTGTATTGGTGGAGGGAATACCCTAACTTATGAAATCACAAATCCTTGAAGTGCTGAGATATATTTTTTTCTTTCTGTGGTAGGTCTCCCCAAATAAGGCACCGTGGATAGTGAGATAAATGGGTCCCCTTCATCACTTATCTCATAAAACCTTGTCGAGGAACTAAGAAAACGGGGTGGGTTGCTATAAAGTTAAAAAGTTGCCCATCTATTTCTGTAGCAGCTACCATTCAGTTCAATATAACAAGCATTTATTGAGTACCTACTTTGTGCGAGGCAATGTGCCAGACATTGTGGATACAAAGAAATGGTCTCTGCCCTCAAAGAGCTTACATTCTTTTTGAAGAGCTTATATTTTACCAGCCTAGTATTTATGTGTTTTGATACTGATCAAAGTGAAATCAGATTAATCTCCCTTCTGTTATTATGCAAAGTTTTATTGCATCACCTTCCAGTCCCAGAGTAAATTGCTGAAACCCAAATATTAGATCTCATAGACTGAACCCAAGGGACTTTCCTCTTTTAAAACATAAGATATTTTTTAAACTAAGTAAGCTTAAAACACTGAGTTCATTTGTGTGGGTTGTATGTTACATTCCAAGATTTATTAGTGAATGATGCTTACTCAAAGAACCATAAATAAGATCATAGCATTAACTTTTTGAGATATTCTCCATGGAAAGCTGTATGACCTTGAACAAGCAATTTAACCTCCATGGCCCTTGGTTTCTTCATCTGTCAAATGAAGGGGTGGGACCAGATGAGCTGTAAGGTCCTTTGGGTAAGCAACAGTTTATTATTTCAAGACAATACATGATGGGCCGTTTCCTGTCCTTGAACTACATATGTAGTTTCCAACCAATATAAATTTGCTTTCTTATGAAGCAAAAGCAGTTGGGTAATAAAAATGAACCCGAGAAGAGAAACCACCAGCAGCAGGCCTACCATTTTCACAGATCATTTACCTAGCAGAAAGTCCTTCACGTTGTGGAGGAGGGCTTTTGTCTTCTGTTCTTCCAGCTCTATTTGGTCTTTCATATTCTCTAGCTTCTCAGTTAGCTGCAAAGCTTTGGTCTTAGTGAGTTGAGTTAGTTTTGTTATGTTTCTTATCTGGAAAGAGATTTTAAAAGTACACAGTGAGAGGAAAGAAAAACACAATTGCTGAACTCAGCAGTTTTGCCGAATAGAATAAAACCACTCATTAAGGACAAAGTAGAAAGCTGAGTAGTCACATTTTAGTAGTCCCGTTAGGGGAGGGCCTGCGTTGTTTTTCTTCTTTGTATCCAGAGTACCTAATAATATTAGTTAATCTTTATATAGTACTTTAAGGTTCACAAAACATTTTACATATCTCACTTGATCTTAATGGCAACTCTGGGAGGCTGGTGCTATTGTTATCTCATTTCACACATGAAGAAACTGAGGCTGAGAAAAGTTAAGCAACTTAAGTTTCTGAGGCTGGAATCAAAGTGCTTAGTACAAAACTATGAATGTTTGGACTCTTGATAAGTATTTGTTGTGGAACTTTTAAAAACTATTATTGGAAAATAATCGTCATCAGTTTTTACTATCATGTATTATTGTATTGTGGCAACATTATCTTTGAAACATATTCCAGATCTAGGTATATATTTCTATGATTAAAACCAATATTGAAAAAAAGTACTAATTTAACATAAAGCATATTTTCTAATAAACTAAAATAAAGTCAACTTAATCTAACATTTATTGAGCTTTTGCTATGTGCAAGGCCCTGGAGATAAACAAAAAATTGAAACAGACCCAACCCTTAAGGAGCTTAAATTCTACAAGGGAGAATACACAAATACACAAGTGAAATCAATATAAAATAAATTGATATTATAATAAGTAATTACAAGGAGAAAATGCTAATTACTGGTGGGAGTGATCCAGGGAACTCAGGAAGGCCTCATATAGAAGGTGTTACCTGAGCTGGGTTTGGAAGGAAGCTAGAGATTTTAAAATGGGGGTTGAAGAGAGAACATGTATCAGTCAGGCATGCCCTGTGGGTACCAATGTAAAGGTACCTGGGCCATAGGGGAATGTATGGGGAAAAGTCAGCAGGTCAGTTTGACTGGAGAGGGGAGGGGCATTTTGGGCGAAGCAATAACAAATAACACTGGAAGTTCGGTTGGAGCTAAATTGTGGAGAGCTTTAAATGCCAAACAGAAGCATTTAGGGAGCCACTAAAGCTTCTTCACTAGGGGAGTAACATGTTCTAATCTGTTTTAGGAACATTCCTTTGGCAGCTGGGTGAAGGATGGAATGGAGAGGGGAGAGATTGGAGACCAGATCATAGAGGGCAATGCTAATATTTCAGATGAGAAGTGAGGAGGGCCTGAATTAGAGTAGAGGTTATGCAAATAGAGGGGAGATGTATGAAAGAGCTATTACACAGGGAGTATCAATATGAGTTGGCAACTGATTGGATATAGCGATTAAGGGATATTTTTGTTTTTATAAGACTTTATTCAAGAGCGGTAGCTAGTAGTGTAGTGAATAGAGTGCTGTACCTGGTGCCAGGAGTCAAATTTGGCCTCAGACACTTATCAGCTGTGTGACCTTGGGCAAACCACTTAGTCCTGTTTGCCTCGATTTCCTCATCTGTAAAATAATCTAGGGAAGGCAATAGCAAACTACTCCAGTATCTTTGCCAAGAAAACCCCAAATGGGTTCATGAAGAGTTGGACATGACTGAAAGGACTGAACAACAACAATCCAAGTCTTAGTAGGAAATAATTGGGACTATTTATCCTAAAGTTTTCACCATGAATAACATATTGAGGAATTTTTATTTGATTTTGTTAAAAAGCTCAGAATAGAGGACGAAGCTTTAGACCCCAAAAGTACCTTAGAGGTCATCTTGTCAAACTTCCTTATTTTACAGATGTGGGAACTCAGGCCTAGAGAGTTTAAATGACTGTCAATTCCAGAGCTGGATACAGGCTGCATGTGCCTTTTTCACTATAGTTGACTCCTCTGTTCTTCTCTCAAACTCTACTAATCTCTCAAATTCTACTAATGCACATTCTTTCAAAGTCAAAAAGAAAACCTTCAACCTTTTAGTAAATGAGTTTTATCTGTGAGTCGGCTATAGAAATAAATTCCAAATATTTGGTACACTTAGAATCGAAATTAGAGTCGTAAAAGGTTTGCAGTCTGGAAAATAAGATCCTAATCTTTAAAAGTGTGACTTTAGATTGACGTTCTTGCGTTTTTCTCTGTGCTACATGGAGACAAAACTAGGTAGGAATAGAACAATGCTGCCATCAAGTTGAATTTAATCATGCAAATCAGTTGTCAACAGAAGTAGGGCTAATTAGAATTCAAACACTACCCTTGCCCCAGACATAATTTGAAAAAAGGCTTTGTTTTATTTTTTTTCCATTTCATGAGTACCAATGAAGCACTCAGACTGTCCAGTTCTTATCCCTCCCTTTCCTTACGTGACTAGACCACATTCTTTTCTTAGTATACATTTGCAAAATGATGTCTTCTGCACCACTCATTGTGCGTAAATCATTATCTGTTGCAATCTACTTATACAGCATGTGCCTTTACATTGCCCTTAGAGTCATTCATAATTTTGGTGGTTCAGAGATCATGATATTCCATGATTTAAAGTCATATAGCATAACCCAGAGAATATTGGTCCTAAAAAGTGAGGGGTGTGTGTGTGTGTGTGTGTGTGTGTGTGTGTGTGTGTGTGTGAGAGAGAGAGAGAGAGAGAGAGAGAGAGAGAGAGAGAGAGAGAGAGAGAGTGAGTGTCAGAGTCAGAGAGTCAGATTATTGGATATCCTATGTAGTTTCTAAAACACAATCCAGTATATTCTCCTTCTCAGTCTCAGTTCATGCGCCATCTCCAATGACTGTCCAAATGTATACAGACTGATTTATTAATTTTTTTTTAGTTCAACACAGTTTAAATTATGACAAACAGTGCATTTCAAAACAAGAGGAAATTTTTGAGTGAGAAAAAAATATGTCTTAATTTTATCTTTCCTGGGAAATATTTTCCTCAATTCCCTACATTTTTTCTCATTCTAAGAACAGGATAAAGAATTTACATATCAATCATAAAAAGTCAGAATGATAGAACTAAAGGTAATGGAGAGGAAATGCCTAACTGATGTAGGTAACATTTTAGTGTAGCTCAGTGGGTACTGTTACCAAAAGAAATTGTTGAATGGTTTTAATGAATAGGCAGTTCTCAGTAATCTGATGACTGTCATAATAGGTTTTAAGTCATTCTCTCATTATCATTTTAAGGTTACCTATTTTCCTTCCTAATCAAGCAGAAGATAGGACATTTCTAACAGTAAGATAGCTTTCTCCCTATTTTTCTCTTCTAATGCTCCAATTCTATTGCAGTGGAACTAAAGACTGTTAATATGACCTTTATGGATTATCACTTAAAACAAATTATTGAACACAAAAGAAATAGCAAAGGTTAGCTGTATGGGATAAAAGTCAAGGTTCATTATGCCTATATCAGAATAATCTTTTTTTTTTCCCTTAAGAAAGGGATAAATAGATTTAGCATAAAACAAAGATCATACTTAAAAAAAATGCAAAGCTACTATGATTTTAAATATTAATTTGCAACATTTAGTTTGCAATGGAAGATTATAAATAATCACAAAATAGAGAAAAGCAGTATGTGTATATGTGTAAGGGAAAGATTTCTCCAAAGAGCTTTGTGTGATACTCTACTAAATTCTGATCACCTCAAAATCTTATGGACAACAAATAAACACAAAATGGAAAAAATTTGCCAATGTTTTTATATTGATTTATCCTTCTCATAGATTAGAGTGGAACTACCAATATCAGATATTCTAGATAGAAAGTAGAAATGGTATTTAAGAAGATAAAATCAGGAAGAGGGGCTAATATGACCAAATGTGCAACAGAAGCAATGTGGGCTGGAAGCACCACAATTTTGAAGGTTCTCAGAGATCAATTTTCAAGAAAGCTCAAAGAAGGAAGATATTAAATAAATGGAAAAAAGCATAGGTGCTATTCATATCAATAGAGGCAACTGTGGATCCATACCTCTACTTTCTTATCTCCATAACATCTTTCTGAAAATCAGGCATCTCAAAAATAGGAGGAGGGAGCAGCAGGTTTTTGTAAATTATTATTATTTTTTAAAAGGCAATTGGGGTTAAATGATTTGCCCTGGGTCAGACAGCTACTAAGTGTCAAGTGTTTCGTCTGAGGCCAAATTTGAACTCAGGTCCTCCTGACTCCAAGGCCAGTGCTCTATTCCCTGCACCACTTAGCTGCCCCTTATGTGACTTCGTCATCCTGATACACTTTTTTTTTTTTAGTGAGGCAATTGGGGTTAAGTTACTTGCCCAGAGTCACACAGCTAGTGAGTGTTATGTGTTTGAGGCTGGATTTGAATTCAGGTCCTTCTGACTCCAGGGCCAGTACTCTATCCCCTGTACCTCCTAGCTGCCCTGTAAATTATTTTCTACAGAAGATTTTCACAGTCACAGGAGTGACTGAAAAGTTGGGCAAACCTAAGACCCCATTATTTGTTAATTATATGAAAATCAATCCCAAAGGTTAACATGTGGTCTCTCATGCTTTTGTTAAGATCATTAAAAAATCCTTAATAAATTAAACAACCAAGATATCCTCATTCAGTGATCCTTAGATCAATATAAAATGAGGCACAAAATAAGGAGGCTGATGCTTGCCACAGCTACTCATCATTTTCGTGAAGGATCTCCTGAACAGAGTTCGGTTAGAAAAGAAAATGGGCTTCTCCAGATGCTCCTATATGTGGATGACTTTGTGTTGATTGTATCAAGCCCAGAAATACTATAGGTTATCCTCAGTTAGGTTCTTGGACACTCAGATGAGATTGTCCTTACTATATAAGCCAAATCAAATGGATAAAGAACTTTTTATTGCCCAGACCATGTATGACATAGAGTTGTGTGGTCAGCCCATTGGGTTATACTAGTAGTTCTCAAACTTTTTGGTCTCAAGACCCTTTTAAACTAAAAAATTATTAAGGACCCCAAGGAGTATTTACCATACTGTAAATTAAAACTGATAACATTTTAAAATTTATT